CTTTCTGGGAATGCGTACCGGAATTTTCACGAAAAAAAAAACTGTAGAAAGTAAAGAGCTTGGATTACGTTATGGAATACTAGGCGAGCCTCTGCAGGTCGATGCATCCACACTGAACATTTTTTAATCTTAAAATATTAACAAACAATATGTAAATAAAAATATTGAGGGCCGATAGGGGAAACACACTTAAAACATTACCTAAATACTTGAAAGACGAACCAAGAAACACACAAAATCATACTTTTCTAAAGCAACCATTTGCATAAAACACAACACGAATTATCTAAAAGGTTAATTGTAGAAATAAAGTCAATACCTTTATGTACAATATCGATTGCATACAATTTTGATTCACTCGGCCTTTCACAATATTTTAATTACGTTAAATCCAATTCAATTTTCAGCGTGCTGACGCTGTACAAATAAAATGAACCATTGATGGCACTTTTGTTGCTTTTTTTAGAAACAACCGTTAGAATGAAAACAAAAAATATATGACAACATGAAGTTTGGACAAAAAACTGATTGCTAAACCTATTTTGGTTGAAACATTTTTACATACATTTTTTTTATTTTGGCCTATGGCAGCAACCACTGTGCTGTGTGAGGGAACCAAATAATGTAATTCTTAACAGAAGTGCTTAAAACTTAACAGTTTGGCAACTTAAACACTGTTGAAGTTGATTTCCGGTATTTCTCTTACTAGCGCCTGCAACTATACTTCTTATTTACTACCGCCGCACGGTGCTTCCCTTCCATATAAAATGTGGGCAAAAATAGAATTATGGACGGATTTAAATAAAAATTCGCTTCTTAGTAAAATAGAGGACGGTAAATTCTAAAATGCAATTGGTTTTTGGATAACTTTCACTGTAAATGCAGTTTGAAGTTGAAAATTTGGGTTCTTGTGGCTTCTACATGTATGTACATATAGTTCGTTCTATTTTCGAAAGTGAGGTGTCAAATGGCAGTGCTTGGCCTATAGATGTGCAATAAAGTTTTTTATTTTTGAAAAGGGTTGCCACCTGTTAAAATTTTATTAAAATTATTTAATAAGTTAAATGAAGTTTTGAAAATACTTGACCTCTAAATGACACGTAGAAGGGTTGCCACATGTTTAAAAAATCAAATTTACTTTAAATAAGGGAATAAGGTAACTGAAATATTTATATCAATATGAGAATCAGACAAATACATATTTAGCAAGAAATATTTGTAGAGTAAAAACATTCGTGAGTTAATTTAAGAGTCCAGTAACTTAAAAGGAATGTAATCAGAACAAATCACTGATTGGCAATGTATGTATTTGTAATAAAATAACAAATACGATGGTGTTATCCTATGGTTTGACGTAATTATTATTTTAGTTTAACTAAATTCGACTTTACAAACAGGTGGCAACCCTATTCGTAATATTTTTAAGCTAAAACCTTCTTAAACCTCTTCCGTCTGACCCCCTTATGGTGATACCTATTTATATCAATTACCTAATTCCTTTAATTCAAGTGGAATTTGTTTTTTTTTTAACAGGTGGCAACTCTCTACATGTAACTAATACACATTTCGATTGATACCCATCTCTTAATAATTCATTTAACTTATAAAAAAATTTTAATTTAATTTTTTAACAATCTAATTTTTTAACAGGTGGCAACTCTTAAAAAAAATAAACCTTCTATTGTCCACAGGTCAAGGTTTTTAATCTGACACTTCATTTTTAAAAATGGAACGAATCGTGCAGATCTCAAGGCACTGACAAAAAATGAAAAAATTATTTTATGCATTAGCGAAAAACACATTACTTCAGAAAATGCAATAAATGAGCAGGTTTTTATTTCTTCTTTTGAAAGCTAAAAACCCGTGCTATTTAATAAAATAATAAAAAATAACCTATTTGTACATATATTTTTTATTCATTCCATTAAAATTTAGCAGTTTTGATTTTTTTTTAATTGTTTTTTTTTTTTGGAACACCGCAGGAACACCCTGTGTTTATTTTTATTCCAAAATATAAATTCCTGTAATTCTCTACTATCTATGTGGAAACAAGAAACGTCAAACCAACATTTTATTTCAAAGAATATATTTTTTACATTTTTTTCTGTGAAGAGCTTACGCATGGCTATGCTCTTATTAAAATTCTTAGTATAAAATTTGTCGACTTTAGTGGCTTCCTGGCGGCATATAATTAATTTTTTAGGGAAATGTCTATTTAATTCTTTTTAGTGGATAAATTGTCTTTACAACAAGTAAGAAATTCTAAGTTCGGGCGGAGCCGAACATTAAATACCCGGCGCAGGTACTAAGTATATGATTTTCACCTTTGCGAAAGCGACCGCTACATGGTAAGCCGGTGTGTACCAATTTTGAGTAAATTAGCGTCCTTAAATTTCGAAATACTGAAGTTTCAAGCATTTCTGAAATTTGCCGTTATATGAAAAGTGGTCGTAATTTGAATTTGATTCCAATAATTTTCGACGTTTTGCTTCTATGTGGCAAGCACAATAATCATACCGAGTTTGGTACAAATTCGTAGAACGGTTACCGAGATACATATATGTGATCATAAGAGGGCGGTGTCACGCCCATTTTCCAAAATTTTATCATAAACGTATTTCTTGGTAAAGAATTGTTGCAAGCATCAATTTTGAGTAAATTAGCTTTAATATTTTTTGATTTATCGAAGATTTCGTATTTCTTCAAATTACCAATATATGGTAGGTAGGCGTGGTTATTGTCCGCTTTTTAAAATTTTCGGCCATGCTGTAGCAAGACTAACAACTGTGCCAAGTTTGGAAGATATTGGTTCAGCGGTTACCAAGATATACACATGTATCCATAAGTGGGCGTGGCTACGCCCATTTTCCAAAAATTTATAATATTCTTATTTTTCGTCTAAAAATTATTGTAAATATCAATTTTGAGTGAATTATCTTCAGTAGTTACTAAAATATCGCACTTTTCGTATTTCTGAAAATTACCGTTATATGGGAGGTAGGCGTGGTTAATGTCCGATTTTGCCCATTTTCAACATTTCCGTCCTACGCCCGAACGAAATGCACATACCAAGTTTCGTTAAGATATCTCAATTTTTACTCGAGTTATCGTGTGCACAGACGGACGGACGGACAGACAGGCACCGCTTAATCGATTTCTCTTTTCATTCTGATCATTTATGTATACATTTGTCTATATCTATCTCGATTCCTTTTGCCTGTTACAAACAACCGTTATGTGAACAAAGTTATAATACCCTTGTGCACAAGTGCGCTCGGGTATAAAAATACCAAACAAGTTCACATTGCAGATAACGAATTTTTCGATTTTTGCCCACTTAGGCGGCACTGTGTCCCGACAGCTTTAACAATTTTATAGTGGTTTTACGTTCTTTGGCAAATAACGCTCTGTTAGCCATAAATTTTACTATGTTTTGACTGCCTTTGTATCAAGGCCCCTGGACCATATAGGGAATTCATTTATATTTTAAATTGCTTTGTCATCGTTATTGGAACTATGCTTCAAGTCTCTACCTTGTCGGGAAGTTAGTTTAAAATCGCTTGGAAATTTCCGCGAGATGACCAAGTTAAATAAAAGCTTGTAAAAACATGTATGAGTCTGCCAATAGAGAATGAATCTCCAAATGATTCGGCCGGTATATTGATTTATTATTATAGTGGTGTTAAGTAGGGGAATATACGACTGAATTATACTTGCGTAAATCGATATTAATCGATATCCATGCAGTTCATACACCACTCCATGAACAAAAAATACAAGATCATGCAAGAACACGACTTTGTATTTGTAACTGGTTTTGAGCATCTGTTTACATCATAAGCACCACTATTTTACACTTATCTTAACTAAAGGAGAGTCAATTCAACACGACAAGCGTTTTAATAAATAATTTTACCTAACATGTGTGTTCAAAGTGGCTGACAATAATTTTGGGCTTCGTTGTTTTCTTTGCTTTGTTTACTTTCCGTTCGTTTTCCAGCGAAACAAGATGGCGTAGAACCGATGACAGGTAACAAAATCAATGGAAATAACATCAGATGACACTATTTCGCATACTGATACGAAATAAAGTCAATTGACATATTACCTTTTCAAGAGCGAAATAAAGTCAACAAAAATATGAAACTAAAGTAAATGATGTTATCTCCTAATTCAAATGCATAAAGTATGTCGATACAAAGAAAAAAATGTGCATCGTACGTGAGATATGCATGTTACAATAAACACTACCTCGCACGTGTTTCCATAGATGAATGAGGCTATTGCCAAATCCTCGGTGCTATTAATCAAAACAATCATGAACCACCAACAAAAGATTTTATTAAAAAACTTAAAGTTGCGAATATATTAAAAACACGAACCAAATGCAAAAAGAGCTGGAATACGACAAATACATATTTGATGAAGAATGTAGAAATGATCCAGAACTTGCAAAACATTTTTCGTTTCCAAAAATAAAGCGAACGCTATTGAATGAACACTATTTAATTCAAAGCTAAAAAACATAGCCGCCATTACACTTTGTGCCGAATGCTATTCAGAAATAGTGCAAAATGCCCTGGTTGCTAACACAGCAAAAATCTTCCAATAAGTTGCACATATAAAAATGAAAAATATGTAAAATGTATGAAATAAATAAAAATTTGAATAAAAAGTATACAAAAAATAATTCTGCCTGCGTTTACAGCGCGGCAGGAGAGCGGGAAATAGTGCCAATTGGCACTATTTTCGTTGATTTTGTTACCTGTCACCCGTACAACCTGCTCAAAAAATCTTCTTTATCAATCTTTTATTCTTGTGTGATCTTGTGTCGTTCGTTCATGGCGCCACTCGAATAAATCTTGCAACCTTCATACTAATTTTTCGAGTTTGAGCAAAAATCTGTACAGTTAATTGAATAGTCCATTCTGCTCTTTAGCAAACATATAGGATATCGATAACTTCTGAATGTTTTTAAAATCACTTGTTTTTCTTGTCAGGGTTCGAACTAGTCATCCTGGTGCTGTGATTGCGTTATGTGATAATCCCATAGATGCAAACAAGGTACGTACGTACATTCAATATTTATACATATACATACGTATTTATCATTGATAGTAATAAATAAATATTCCACGGATATTCTCTAGCTACTTCTTGCTTTTGAATGTGGACTTCTTGTGCTATGGGACCTTAAAAGTAAAAGCGCGGAATTTCGTTGGCAAGCTGCTGAGCCGGTTAAATCGGTAGCTTGGCATTATGAAGGAAAATATTTTATTTCCTCCCATACGGATGGCTCCATATGTACTTGGCCAACCAGACCTCTAGCGAAACCTCAATCAGTTATTTGTCCTCACGGTAAGTAAGATTATATGCATTGCTTAAGAATTATAAAAAAGTGTTCATAAGGTATACAGGCCGCTGAGGATCCACAAAACTGGAACAATCCGAGCGCAATTTCAGCATTCACATATAATTTAAAGACGTCGTATGAATCATAGAGTAAATAGAAAAACGGGAAAATTTTCCAATGAGGAACCAGGCTTTGAGAAAAGAGAGTTATAAGAGGAGGGGGAGGGGGGAGATTGGGTTCTATAGAGGGCTGATTTCAAATCTGCAGGTCCCGCCCTCTTGAGGCTTATAGTTTTTAAGTAATTTGCGGTTAAAGTTGCAAAAAATTTAGAATTTAAATTCACTTTTTCCTTTGTAGGGCAATTGAATTGCTGCCACACACAACGAAAAAAATTCGAAAAAAAGCACTGAACATAGTATATTACATAAAATATAAATGATAAGTGGCATTTTATATCAAAATTTGGTGGTAGTAGTATTAGTACCTACTAGGGATGTTACTCCCGGGATCCCGGCCTTTTTGCTTTTTTTTTTTTATAAATGTCTAGCTCATTATACATATACCACCGCGCGATAATAAATTTTAAATACAAATATCAATATATTCGCGAAACTATGGGCCAAATTAGTAAAATTCCGTTTTTAGTTTTTCACTCTGACGTCAGTAATTCAAAAATGATTTCACAAATTCAGTGAAATGTCATTAGAGAAGAAGTATGGGTTCTAAATTAAAGTCGATAACATCCTCGAATTTCGTCTATGTGAATCCAAAAAATTTTAATTTTTTAAATTCTAAAAAAAAAAATCTCTTACATTTGGTACCCATATTTTTATTCTACATTGCATTGAATTTTTTAAATAATTTTTGGAATTAATCATATCTTTGAAATTACAAGGTCCTTTAAAATAAATCCTAACGTCAGAAAGAAAAAATAAAAACGCCACTTTAAATAAAAAAGGAGGTTTCAAACCCATTTATTTATTATTTATTTTATGGTAGGAGAGCTTCTCAAACAATATAGAAGCAATTTTTTCGATTTAAGTTGTTGAAAAGAAATGAATCTCTAAATCCCGGGACTAACCCCAGGATCAGAAAAAGCTGAAAAATTAACATACCTAGTACCTACATTGTGAGAGTGATCAATTCAGATAAAGAAAACCTCCGCTTGGGGGTTACTCTGTAATGTCATGCGAAAAGCAGTGCGATTAGAAAAGTAAATGCGATCCGAAAGGCTAATGGGTAATTCCGAGTCAAATCGACCAATGGTTGGATTCGACCCCTTGCAATTTGGATGAAATTTGGCCAGAAATTTTCTTTCAACCTATAATGAAGTTCCACCAACACAAACAAATAAAAAAAATTGCAAAAGTTATGCGAAATTCAAAATTTCACTAATTTTCCAGTTGTTCAAGTTAATTTTTTTAATATCTTAAAAACTATTAAATATAGTTGCAAAAAACATCTTGGACTGGTTTTAAAGAGGATACTTGGGGGTCCAAATTTATATGTATTAAAAAAATAAATTAAAAAAAAAGTCAAAAAATTGCTAAATTTTTCAAAATTTAATAAACCAAAAACTAATATTTTTTTTTGGGCAAAGTTTTTTTTGCATGATACCTAAGCACGTTTTTAAAAGATATGAATTTTTGAGTTTTGGAAAAAATTGAATTTTTTGCTTTCGCAATCTGTTAATAAAATTTTATCAAATTATTATTAAATTTTAGTATTTTGAGCAACAAGTATTAAGTGTAAGGCGAGTAAAGGACAACAAAGTACAGTATACCCACGCTAATAGCGACAGAATAAAAACAGTGGTTGTTGCGATAACCGAGGTTATCGCGATTACCAAGCTTTTTTATTATAAAATTAAATATAAAACCAATAAAAATGTTATCATAAATTTGAAACGCATGCATTTATTTTAAAAATTCCCATTTTATTTCGTATACTAGCAGACCCGGCGAACTTCGTCCCGCCCAAAATTTTATATATTTTATTGAAACTTTTTGGTACAAAATTTTCACCAACAATTCACGTTTACGATTTTCAGTGGCACATTTGTCTGCTAAGATTAAGGTTTGGTGGTCATTTGCCGCTTTAAATAACCTAAGGAAAGTGTTATATCCGTTCTTGAAATTCTCCAGTTGTGCGGCATTTCATAGCACGGTTATTCGCAAAGCGAAATAAATTTTTTCCTCTTCACTCCCTGGCGGCAACAATGACCCGGTTCTATAGTGAATGTCCTAGAAGCTTTACAGTATAGTAGGTGGCAATTTCAAAATGGGTGCGAATCATTGTTCTACAGAAATGCAATATACATATACTTATTTCAGACGAAATACCTTAAAAGTTTGAACGCATAATAATATTGGAAAATCACATCCATTGGGCCAATTGCAACGCAGGAGCGTTCGATATACTCAATGGTGCAACAGGTCGATTTAATCTGACCTTCACGGCCCCTTTTCTCACTTGGCTATTTTTAGTAATAGCTCGACTTCAGCACCACTTGGCAGCACGTTTTTGCAATAGTATTGCATACATATTTAAAACATTAGCCAAATCGGATCATAAATAAGATTTTTAGTAATAACTCAACTACAGCGCCAACTGTCGGATTAAATTGTGAAACTAAACCATCCAGAGACCCACTCAAATACACAAAAAGTTTCGTTAAAATCCGTACAACCATTTAGGAGGATTTCACTCACAAACACACCTACAGAAGAATAAAAAAATTCATTCAAAGATAGCTAAAGGTCGGTACGTTTGTAGGCCTCACACCCCTTTTCAAATAGCCCAAATTTTCTCCATGAGTATGGGCTTGATTTCAACTATATACATATCTCCATACGAAGTTCCAGTACTGTACCATGAATACTTTCAGAGATATGCAGTATAAAAATTCGATTTATATGGGAGGTGCCACGCCCCCCTTTCCAACAGCTGCCCTCTTTCTTCATGAGTATGCGATTGATTTCGTATATCTCCATACCAAGTTCCAGAACTCTACCATGAACACTTCCAAAGATAGGCAGTATGAAAAATTCGGTTTGTATGGAAGATGCCACGCCCCCTTTTCCAATAGTTCCAATTTTTCTCCAAGAGTATGCGATTTATTTCGTACATCTCCATACAAAACTCTAGAACTCTACCAAAAAATTTCCAGAGATAAGCAGTATGAAAAATTCGGTTTGTATGGGAGATGTCACACCCCTTTTTACAATAGCTAAAATTTTTCTCCAAGGGTATGCGATTGATTTCGTATATCTCCATACCAATTTCAAAAACTCTACCATGCACACTTTCAGAGATATGTAGCATGAGAAATTCGGTTTGTATGGGAAGTGCCACGCCCCCTTTACATATAGATTTTTTTCAGCCTAAAACCATCCTTGGGACACGTGCGGCAGGTGGCAGTTTCAAAAAAATCGGTTCAGCCGCTCTCGAGCCTTGCGAAAACTAACAAACGGCTTTCTAAATATATATTAGTTGAGATATATTATATATTATAATTATATTTTGACAGTATCCGTTGTTTCTGATTGGCGCAAAAAAATCTTGCCCAGTGACGAATTCGCCCCTTGATATGGTCGTTACTTAAAGCTATTTATATTCGAAATTGCATGAAAATTGGAAAACAGGAATCTATAAGCTTATCCTGGCAAAAAGCTACCTACGTACCGAATTTTAAGCAAGTCGGACCGTAAATACGATTTTTTCGAATAGATCAGTCCCTGGTCCACTTCTCGGAAAAAATGGACCATATATCCTAATGTATGCTAAAAAACTACTTACGTACCGAATTTTAAGCAAATCGGACCATAAATGCGATTTTTTGGAATAGATCCGTCCCTGGACCACTTCCCGGAAAAAATGTGTTATATATGCTAATATATGCTAAAAAGCTACTTATCTACGTACTAAATTTTAAGCAAATCGGACTATAATAAGATTTTTTCGAATAGACTGGTCCCTGGTCCACCTACCCGAAAAAGTAAAATTTTTTAGCCTAAAACATGGTGGTTACCGAAAGCTATTTGTATACAAAATTTCATGAAAATCGGACCAGCCGTTCGCGAGATTACCTGTTACAAAAAAAGGGACTTCTCTTTATATAATTAGTATAGATGTACAAACACATGTTTGTACGTATGTATAATAGTTAATTTTATTTATTTATTTATTTATTTATTTACTGAAGTCAATGAACAAAATATTCTTACAGACTACACATGTTGGAGAGTATTACTAGTATAATTACATTATTCAAGACAATTATTCACATGAAATAGACATTTTGGCAGTTCGCCACACTCATAATAAATTAAAAAACGCTTACATATAAGTTGAGATCATAAACTACACTAATGACTGATAAAATAATCACTTAACTGGGCTTTAAGAGCAAACTTAGAAACTGATAAGTCTAGGTCTAAAGAATTTGCGAAGACGTTAAACTCAGTTAGAGTTCTATTAATAGGAGCATTGGCACTATATGCCGTTTTGCTGAGGCCAACTCGAAATACCTCAAAGCAACGGAGGTTTCTACTCGGAACATTGAAGTGCAACCTCTCAAGAAGGGACGGGCAGTCAATCCTGCCTGTAGCAATGTCAGAAATAAAAGATATCGCAAAGAGTGTTCTTCTATCATTTAAAGACAGTAGGCTGATTAGACGGCACCGAGACTCATATGACGGAATCGGGAGTGTGAAATTTAGCGAATTTAGAGCGAAACGGAGGAACATTTTTTGAACTCTATCCAACCTGTTTATATGAATAGCATGAAATGGTCTCCAAATAAATGCCGCGTATTCTAATTTAGACCGCACAAAAGCAGAAAACAGCTTCTTAAGTGTGTATGGATCTGAGAAATTAGAAGAGTTCCTTCGTACAAATGCAAGCATAGCAAGCGAGTTTTTTATCGTATAATTAATATGCATAGCAAAAGTAAACTTAGTGTCAAAGTACACCCCCAGATCCTTGACTTCATTAACCGACTCAA